GGACCGTGGCCCCACAGCAGGTTCCGTTTGCTGAGGATGCAGAGGGAGCTGGGAGGTGGCCCAGGCTGGGACACCAGGAAGGACTCGGGGAGCCCAGAGAGCCCAGGGAAGCAGCACTGGCAGCCCCTGACCTGAACTCCTGCAGCTTCTGCTGCCTGAACTGGGCGAGGCGCTCGCTGCGCTGCCGGATCTCCTGCTGCTGCCGCCGGCCCTCCTCAATGAAGGCCGCCCGCTCCCGCTGTCGCTGCTGCTGCAGCTCCTGGATCTGCCGCCGGAGATCTTCGGCATGGGCGCGCTGCCGGAGCTCCCTCTGCTCCTGCTCCAGCTTCTCCCGCTCCAGCTGCTCCTGATGGGCCCTGTGGAGGAGCTGGGCTGGCTCAGGTACCCTGCCACAGCCCCCCCACACCTGGCACAGCACCTGGGCTGGCACTGGAGCCCCCAGAGTCGCCAGCTGGAACTGGGAGCCTCCTGGCCACTGCCTCAGCCATCCCTTGGTCCCGTGTGCCTCACCTGAGCACCCTCTGGAATTCCTGGCGGTCTTGCTGCACCTGCCTGGCCAGGTACTGCTCCTTCTGGGCCACCTGCTCCAGCCGGTCCTGCTTCAGCTGCTGCTCCAGCTCGGCCTTCTTCCGTGCCTTCTCCAGCTCCCGCCGCCGCCATTCCCGGTCTGCGACCTCTTGGTTCCTCTTGGCCCTCAGAGCATCCTGCCCAAATAGGGGACAGTGCTGGGCTTCCCTCAGGGGCAGCTATGGAATCCCTTGGCTGTGGCTTTGGCTCTGCCAGCACCACTCCAGGACATCCCCTGGCTCCGGGGTCTGTTCCTGCAGACCCCCCACATCCAGGGTCTCTGCCCCTTTGCCAGTCTGGGGACAGGAACGGTGGCAGGGGAGCACGTCACCTGTGCCTAGGGCACTCACCCGCTCTGCCTGCCAGTCCTGGGCCCGCTCCTGTGTGGCTCTGAGCCGGGCCAGCTCCTTCTCCTTCTCCAGGCGCAGTTGTTGCTGCTCCGCCTCCAAGGTGGCCTCCCACTCCTGCGGGGGACAGAGCCCCAGGGTGGGACAGAGCTCCGGGGTGGGACAGACCCCCAGGACAGCTCCTGCAGCCCCTGCCCACCCCATCAGGAGCCTGCTGCTCTTACAGCCTTCTGCCGCTGCTGCTCCAGCACCCGCTCGTCCTCCAGCCTCTCCTGCTCCCTCTGTTGATCCTTCAGCCTCTGGCTCTCCATATTGAAATGTTTAATATCAGCATGGATTTGCTTTAGTCGCTCCTGTTTCTGCTCCCAGGCCTGGAAATGCCATGTAGGGTTGGAGACCACCAAGCTGAGTGCTCCTTCCTCCTCCTCACTCAGGGCAGGGAGGCTTTGGGCCATCTCCCTAGGATGTCACAATGTCCCCAAGGGACCAGAGCTCTGACCCTGCTGGCTGCTGTCCCCACTCCTTGGGTGTGGCTGATCCAGCTCTGCCAATCCCTTTCCAGCCAGGTGGAAACCTCCCTGAACCCCCCTGTTCCCTGCTCCCACCTTCCGATCCTCCCTCTTCATCTGCTCCAGTCGCTCCAGCTGCCTCTGGCCCTCCTGGTACAGCTCCTCAGCCCTCAGTGCCCGCTCCTCTGCATTCTGCTCCATCTGTTTCACAATGTCCTGCCGGGCTCTGGGAATATGAGAGCAGAAGGGTTTCCTGTGGCTCCATCCTGCTCCCCATCGTGGGAACGCTGGCATGGACAGGGCTGGTGTGGTTGCAATGGGCCAGATGCCTCCATGGGGAAGAGGGAGGGATGCCCACCTCATCAGCTCCTGCTTCCTCTGGCGCTCCAGCTCCTCCTGGACCTCCACGCCCTTCTCCCGCTCCATTTCCATCATCTTGTCCAGGCGCTTCTCCTCCTCCTCCAGTTCCTTGTTGATCATCCGCTTCTCCAGGACTTGCTTGTCCCGGATCATGTTGCACTTGGCATTGAGGAACAGCTGTGGGGACAAGAGGTGTCTGTGGCTCAGAGCTGCACTGGGACACAGGGAGCAGGGAGAGGCAGGGAAGGAGAGGAAGAGCCTGGGAGCACGAGGAGCAGGGGAGGCTCAGCAGTGCCAGGTGACAGAGGGGAGCACTGGCCCTACCGCGTTCAGCTCCCGCACGTCTTCCTCCTGCTCCAGCCTCATCCTCATCGCCCGCTGCAGCAGCTTCTGCTCCTCCTGCTGCAGCTCCTCCTCCACGTCTCTCCGACGGTCCCTCTTGTCCTCCAGTTCTGCCTTTCTCTGCTCCTCAATCTGGGCCTTTTTCAAGGCTTCCTGCGGGGACAGAGAGCACTGCCCAATCCTGGGCACCTTGCCGAGGGCTTGCAGGGGTCACACTTCAGGTGCCGCATTCCTGACACTGAGTGGGGACATGTCAGGCACCTGGGGCCCTGGCACGGCCCTGAGCACCCCTCCCCACACCTCTGGGCAGACACCTCGTGCCTTTGGAAGGCTGGGAGTGCTGGGCACAATTTCAGGGATGCTGCTCAGCTCTCAGTGGAGCCCTGAGCACTGCAGCCTCCCCTGTGCCCCAAAAGGTGGTGGACAGAGGGAGGACCCCCTGTCGGAGCCACCACCCCTCAAATCCAGCTGTGGATCAGGAAGAGGGGGAAGCAGGAAGGGAAATGCCTACAAAAGCAGCGTCCTGTCTGGCTCTCAGGGTCTTCAGCCTGTCCCAACGCTCCTCTTCAGTCGGGGCTCGAGCTGATTCCTTGAGTTTCTCATATTCCTTTTCTCCAATGATGAGACACGGTTGGGGCTTCTCCTGGGGGATGCTGGGGAGCACAGGGAGAGAGCTCAGTGGCACAGGTCCCCAACAGGTGCCTGTGTTCCCTGAGCTGCCCACCTGGCCACCAAGCCAGCCCAGAGCAAGGTGGGAAGTGTTGGAGAAGCCATGGGGACCCAGCTCTCTTGTTTTGGGGTGAGGCAGGAAGGGAAAGTGTGCTGAAAGTGGCACCTGGCTGGGATGCAGGGGG